GGGATAGCATTCAAGGCTGACCAATATCCCACAGTGAGTGAGCTGTCATGGGACTTCCTCTGAGGACTCCCCCAGAGTGCCTGGGGTGTTACCTGAGAGGGGCTCCTGGGATACAGGAAAGCATAGAAGGCTGACCAGGCAGGGCAGGGCAGGGCAAAGATGAGAATAGCACAATACTACTGCAGGTCAGTTTTTCATTGGGCTCTTTTTGTCTTAGTACTCCTATAGTACATAGTAGGTGCTTAATCCATGTTTGCTGGATTGGAGCTTGACCATGGCTACCTCCTCTCATGGTACTGTGGGATTTTAGAGGTGAAAAGGATTTCAAATATAATTCAACTTCCCCATTTTGTAAATGAGGAAATTGAGCCTTCCTCTCCTCTAGTGGTCTCCTCCTGCATTTCTTTCCCTGCTCTCTCTACATCCTATGTGAACAAGCTGTTCTCTGAAGCCTTGGGAGAGCCTAGGCCTTATATAAGAACCTGCGAGGACCATCAGTGGCCTCAGACATTATCAAGAAACTCATTTGGTTGGGAACAGTGACTCTTTCCCCCAGTTTTTCTGCTCAGTTGGGGCACATAAGTGGAACGGGCAGAATAAAGGCATATGTAATTGGGAAGTATCATGGGACAGAGAATAGAGTTGTCTTTGGAAACAGGAAGATCTGGGTTCAAATCATGTCTCTTAACAACTCACTAGCTGTTTAATCATGGGCAAGTAACAATTTGAGTTTCAGTTTCCTCATGCAAGATGTAGAGTCCCCAAGTCCCCCTGTCCTCTCTCCATGTCAGATCTCATCTAGAGTGTTGTATTAAGTTCTGGGAATCACTGTTGAAGGACACTGATAAGCTGGAAAGCATATCCCAGAGGAAGGCAACAAGCCTAATGAAGGACCTAGAGCCCATGGCAGATGAGGAGCAGTTGGAAGAACTGGCATGGTTAGCCTAGAGAAGACTTGGGTGAGGTGAAGGTAGGCAGGCAATCTAAGCTGTCTTCAAGTGCCTAAAGGGCTGTCCTGTGGAGAAGGATAGACACCTGTTCTGCATGGCCCCAAAGGGCAGAATAGGAATGGAAGGTGCAAAGAAGCAAATTTCAAGAGTAATAGCCTAACGATTAGAGCTGTTCCAAAGTTGAATAATGGGGTGTCTGGAATAGTGAGGGTTTCCACTCATTGGAGGTCTTCAAGGTCAGGCACTGGGCATGCTGTAAACATGCCCCCAAAGTTCTGCCCTAGACCCTCTTCTCTTCACATTCTCTGTGGCCTCATTGGCTTGCATGGATTTATTCATCTTTTCTGTGTAGATGATTCACAGATCTCTATATCCAGTTCTAGACTCTCCCCGAGCTTCAGGCCCACATTATCAATCACCTCTTGGACCTTCCAAACTTGGCATCCCGAGAACAGCTCAAACGTAGAATGTTTCAAACAGAACTCACCTTCTCCCCCACCCCAAACTGACCCCTTTGCCAAACTATCCTATTTCTTTTGAAGTCGCCACCATGATTTCAGTCTTTCAGGTCTATAACCTCACCATTATCTTCATCCCATGCACCCAATCAGTTGCCAAATCTCAGTCATTTCTGCTTCTATGACATCCTTTACATCCATCCCTTTCTTTCTGCTCACCCAGTCAGAAAATTAGTTCAGGCCCTTATCACCTCTCACCTGGATCATTGCAACACCCTCCTAAATGGTCTGCCTACCTCAACAATCTCCCCATTCCAGGCTGTCCTCCACACTCTTGCCAAGGTGATTTTCCTTAAGTGCCCATATGACAATGTTACTCCCCTAATCAATCGAGTCACTCCCTATCTTCTCTAGGAGAAAATATATGCTTTTTTTCTTTCAAAGACTTTCCCAATATGGCCCCAGTCTCTTCTTCCAGCTGTACCCAACCAACCTGGTAGCCTTGCCATTCCTCACTCATGACGCTCCATCTCTCCTTACCTCTGCCTCCTACAGTCTCTCCTCCTTAAAAACTCAGATTCATCTGGTACATGAATTCATTCTAGATCTCCAGATGACTGCTGAAGTGCTTTCAAGTTCTTCAATTCCATGATTCCATGATTCTCTCCGGAACCTCACAGGGATGTTGAGGGGCCCAAAGGAGAAGTCATATGGAAAATGCTCTGCAAACTTTAAAGTGTTTTAGGTTGGTTATTATGTTTCAAGGAGGACAGAAAAGGAGATAGTAGGGTTAGAGCTGGAAGGAACCTGAGGAATTGATCTAGGCTGCTTTCCTAACTTGGCAGAGAAGAACCCCAAGGCCAACACAGGTGAAATGACTTCAGAGTCCTAGGCTGACAGATCCAAATCTCAAAGGCCATTGAGGCCAATGCCCACATGTTCCAGATGGGAAAGCCATGGCCTCGGGAGGTTAAGAAACGTGGTCTAGATCACACAGGCATTGAGGAGCAGAGGTTGGATTTAAACCCAGGTTTTCCTCCAGAGACAGTGTCTCCATGATACCACTCTTCCTCCTTAGGCCTGATCTCTGTCTCTCTGTCTCCATTTCTGTCTCCCTCCTCCTCCTCCTTTCTCTCTGTCTCTCTCTTTCTCCCCTGTTCTCTCTCTTTCTACCTCCTCTCTCCTCTCTCTCTCTCCCTCTCCCCCTTCTCTCTCTCCCTTTTCTCTCTCTTCTCTCTCTCCTC